GCAGGTCGGTGAATGGTCAACCAGTCGGTAGAGCAATTAACGAGGCGTCCAATTATCTATGAGGACATCGGGTGCAGCGTTCACACACCTTAACAATTAGTGTCACACTAATGAATAACGCATAATTGGGGAATAATGGCACGCGCAATTATTTTAATTGCGCAGAAAGCTTTGTTGGTCTAATTGCAGGCCAAGAAACTCGAACCGGATATTTGTTCTACTGCGGTCTATTCGTGGAACAGATTTAATATGCAACACATATTAAATCGGTACAGTCGTTGCAAATGAAATTTTCCAGTTTAAAGTTTAAAGTTTAAAAAAGCGACAGCTTGCATTGTATACTCAGAAACCATTATCGAAGTGATTAAGCCTAAATTAATTTAACAAGTTAGAATCGTAGTAAGTCACGGTAAAATGTACTTTAATTTATTGATGTGAAAACTTCTTTAGGCGCGTTGATGACTTTTTGGGTGAACAAAAATCGTGGAACTCGCGTCACCGTCACCGAACGCTTTCTATGAGCTATTTTTAGAAAGAGAATATGCAAAAATATGTTAATTATAATTATGTATATGATATTAATACTGTTATTATCGTACCGGAGTGCCTATAAAATATGTAGAATTAAATATTATAAAATTTTGTGTTGTTTTATGTTTTCACTTCCGTCGACACTCCTTGTGAGACTACATATGTTTTTTGTTTATGGTTAAATGAAAATGTTTTAGGCAGCGTCTTTAAGTCACGGGAGGAACTGCATGAACGAAACGTCACGAATTTTAAAAATAAAATTAATGAGCGATAAATTCCATATAATAATTTCATTTTACCATATATATAATATTCGCGTAAAAACAAAAAATAACAATAATTTATTTTAACAGACCTATTACGAAAAGAAGTTTTAAAGCGGATAACAAATGGAAATTGGCACAATAAATAAGTCTATTTGTTGTCCTTTAATGGGTTAAATAATTTAGTCCTTTGTAGTGTTTAATATACACACTACCCTCTCTATGTATATTTGTCTTCACCGAAACAAAAAATAGGCAACAAGTTTGTTCACAACATATCTATTTAACAGGAGAGTGATTTTATTTACTATTCATTTCGATTTCCAACGGAAATTATTTACATATAACAGGATAATGTTATCCTAAAGTGAGGGCGATATTTTTTTTTTTTTTAAATACGAAAAAAATATTAATGTCAATTCAAACTATTGCATAGATTAAAAATGACAATATAGAGTATAGATATTAGAGATTAGTTCAAATATTACATTACTATTCCTATAATAAGAAATATACATTTACCAAGCAATTATTATCATTAGTTAATCGTATTTATGTAAATCTAAATAAATAACTCTACTTATGATACCTTCACCTTCCCGTTACGGACGATTGAAATAAATTAATGAAGGCACACTAGTGGGCCGAACTTTGTCAACAATTCTATTTGAAAGCCATGTACAATTTAATTAATAACCTAGAGATTGTATTTAAATAGTCACGTCACATAGCCTTCTAGCACTTCAAATCCACATCTTACATAGCTTGTAAGTTGAATCCATTCGTAAATACGTACAAACAATTTCATAGTTAGACTTGCTACAGAAATAAACTGCAATACAAACAGAGTTCACTTTTATCTAATTTGACAAAACAAACCTAAGGAAACCTGTGGTTAGGTTAATTGCTTAATTGCCATTTATGTTTTTATATTCGCTATAAGTATTGATTATGATCTGTCGTCTCGGGTATATAATTTATACCTATGTCCTTACATAAGTAATTCTTCAATTATGTGCCTCATAGTTTGCCCTTAGATTAGGATAACGTTATCCTGTGTTATTAGGACGTTTTAGAAACATAAACTTCACGCGGACAAACACCCAGATGCTCACAAATAGTGTATAATATTTCATATAAGTAGTTTATTTTTAATATATAATAAATTTATTAATCGACGTGTTTCGAACATGTAACCTTCTTACTCTCCTACAGTTATAATGTCTACTAACGCGGATAGCGGTGTGAATGTATTAACGGGTGTCCGTGTGTGTACGTATATATGTCTCTGTTGACCGAATTTAAGAAAGGGCACTTTGCTTAAGGGTTTCGAGTATGCGCGGAATTATTCTCACCCCACCTTTGCGGCGATACCCGTCGTTTGGCGACGTTAAAAAGGATACCTTGTTCAAACCCGCTAGGAATTTTACAAAAGATTTCTAACGAATTATATTTTTACATTTTGACGACGAGGATATAAAATGAGGGCTCTGTAAAAAGCCATCTTAAGACGTTAAAGAGCTCATCACCATTCGAGTTTGATATAACAATAGCTGATGCCCGCGAGTTCGTCTGCTTTGCTTATAATATTTGGTCGCTTGCCTCACTTCTCTACGGCAAGAAATCGCACATCACTGAACAAGTTGTACTTATAAAAATCTTTGTTCCTTAAAACTTTATGGCTTTACATTAAACAAAGAAGAAATCAATCCAGTAGCTTTTCCCGTGATCTACGCATAACGGCAGACCTCTGTCATTTAATTTATATATATATATATTAAATATTCTAGATTTAGGAAAGCTAGTGTTTGTCATAGATACAATAGATACGCCCGCCTCATAGATAAGTCAGCCTCTATTCATGTGAGGTTAAGTCCTCGTTTCTACTAACTAAGAACCATGACATTTACAGAACACAGTCCAGCGACACAGAATTTTTTTTTTAATGGAAGCAAAGAAGCCAACACACCAAAAACTGCACAGGAGTTAAAATACCTAGCCGCTTATTGAAATACACTCTTCTTGAAATTCTATCTATCAGTAGATTTGGTTACTAGCGATAGGTATTTGACATTAGCTTCATGATGCTTACATCAATATTCTATCTACAGCATGTAATCTACAGTTACCAAGATAGACTGGAAAACGGCCGGAAACGCGTCCGTCCACATATACCGCAAAAAATCAGTTGTACATCTTGTATACTGTCTACTTGAATTCTATTTGTACGATTTTGTATATGTACTGTACGCGTATAAACGAAAAGCATGAAATTATTATTTTTTCCATTTTATTGTGTTACAAAAGAAACATAACAGTACAAAAGAAAGTTTACTCCAAGGCCCTTGTTTAAAATTGCGTTTCATTCCAAACAATTGGTCGTATTTACGAAGTTTTACAATATCATGAAACTTCCCAAGTCGTAAAAATTTCGAATCTCATTACGAGGAAAGAAACCAATTATTGTTTCGCGTGGCTCGGCGGGTAAAGTTTATACTGAACGTTAAAAATATATGTTTCACATACATTTTAAGTTATTAATGATTTGGATGGAGTGTGTGAAGTATATGTCTGTGAAAGGTGCGAGTATTGAGATGACGGCTGATAGGACGTGTGCCAACCCCATCGAGTGTGGGATAAGGGCAGGAGAAAGAAAAGAAATCATTCTTTTCTATCGCATCAGGAACAGAAATCATGATTGATCGACGGCACAAGAATGATTTGAGAACAAACAGAAATCATGATTGATCGACGGCACAAGAATGATTTGAGAACAGATAGTTGTAGGTTTTAATTTTTATAATATAAATGATAGCTTTCTAACGGTGTAAGAATTTTTAAAACCGGTCGAGTAGTTAGAGCAATAAACAACTAGGGCTACGATTACTTACTATTTTCATAAAATCGTGTTGCTATTGAATAAATGACCCAAACCGTTAATAATATAACCGTCCGATTAAAGAAAGTGATTGACCTTAACGCATTGATTTATCGGCTTCTTTATTGCTATTATAAAAAGCAAAAAAAAAATTTTTACGATTGTTATTATGTAGGTATGTATTTGGCTAATTCATAATTTGGAATGGGAATATTAATTAATTTTTTTTAGAAAAACGGACGAAAAGTCTTTCGCCACAGCAGAATCGAACCCACGTCTTCCGGATTCGCGCGCAGACGCTTTAACCAATAAACTCGACGGCTGATTGACACACCGTTTGCCACATTGCTTTTTCGTATTTATATTATGATATCTATTAACAGGTTTAAAAAATTTATTAAAGAAAAACTCTTTAAAAAGGGTTATTATATTATAAATGAATACATTAACGATAATAACCCCCGGGAATGAGATGAACGCTCCTAAGCTGTTCCTAAAAAAATATGTACTGTATAACTATGTATTTGTTGAGTAAAAAAAAATGACAAAGAAGAGGATACCTACGGAGTTTCTTTCGTCTGTTTCTTCTCCGTTAGAGGAACCTCATTACGAAACGGTGGTAGATTTAAAAAAGGACTATCGATAAATGAAATGTATATTTCTTATTTCGATGAATAAATGATTTGGATTTGGATTTGGATAAGCATATATATATGCTAATATTTATATGCTAATCTAGCACGATAAATGGGCATATATTTTTTTTATGTGTCACATTCGGAGGCGTTATTTAATTCACAACAGCATCGTCCGATCGTCAAATGGTATCTCATTAATATGACATTAATACTGATAGTGTTAATTGATTAACGATTTACGTCATTGAGCGTAAGCGAAAAGTTTATTTGAAATATGAGAAATATAATTATGAGAATAGTTTAGAATAGGAGGCTAAGTACTTTCATTAACCGTGGACATCTTAATCACCTTGAAGGCTGCAGTTATTTTGCCTCCATTCAAGAGAGCTGGCCCCGGTTACCTTACCCGTCAGACAAAACGAAAAAGTTTGATGACTCAGCTAAGCGACAGACTATCTAATTGATCCGCACCTGTACGTTTGTCCTCGTTTAAATTGCATTTGAACAACGCTAATCTATACAAAAGGGTTGGTTTATCGTAACAGTAATGGTGATGTCAAAAGAAATACTTTCACTTGTCGCCTATCTCCTCTATAGGTACTTCCCCGGATACTATAGCCCATTAATAAAACAGCAGAAGCTGAGTGCCATTACCGGTGCACCGATTTATCAACAGTTTGCTAACAATTAAGGGAATTGCGCACAGTCCACCGCAGAGCTAGTATAAACATCCCACAACAAAGGGCATCCGTATACGGACGGGAAGCTCGTTCGAGAATCTTCTGCGATCGTTCGTAAATTTCCCGCTGCACACACAATGGGGACAATCGCCCTTATTTGTTTGCCAGCTAAGTGCCAAATTAGAATAACAATACGCACAACGGGGAGCTGCAAAGGTCTGGCGAGGACATTAGTCCCGCAGTCCGCATTGCTATTCATCGCCCGACCTCTTTTCTGACGTTCGCGAACGCGGTCCCGCATCTCGCCTCCCACTCGCACGCGTCCCGCGGCCAATGCGTGCGAGCGGGACGGGCGCGCGGTGCGTGGCATTCGTGCCATGCGCGCGGGAGCTCGGCCCGGATGCGGCGTTTTAGCGGACATTCCGGAAACGGCTATGGCGGAGGGCGAAGAATATTGTGGCATGGGACAACTTTAACAAGCCTGTGCAACAGTATTGCAGTCGTTAATTGGTTTCCAGTTAAAGAGAAAAGAAAGAAACACTATCTTCAAGTTCTTTAACTTATACGATTTGTAAACACTATAACGTTAATGATACGCATCGTTAATATGTAGCATTAGCGGGGTAGCGTGGACGTCTAACCTTACACCTTACGTTATCTGGTCCTTTCCAGGGCGTTCTGGCCACCGTACGCCCGTAGTGAGTCGTCCATCCTTTTCATCCCCCTTTAGAGCAGCGAGAGTGAGGGAGACGGACGAAATGGCGCAACAGTTGTCGTGTACTATCGATCCGGTCGGGAGCCACGTGAGGCGCCGGAGCCACCCCAGCCACTCCCATGCGTTACAATACGAAACACCATTTCCATTGCTGTCCGCATCGGTATAAGCTTTCGCAGCACGGCAATAAATAAAGCAATGTAATGCGCACCGGCAAAGTTCACGAACGACCCGCACCGAGATCCGACACCGCCCGCCGCGAAATAATCCAGAATGAACTGCAAATTCAAGGCTCCTAACGACGCAATACGTGGAGTTTAATAAAATATTATATTAACGGAGCTATCCGAAAGCTGTGCTAGGCTCTCTCAGGGGCGATGACGGCGGCTAATATTAAATAGGCCGAGATATTAGTTATTAATCAAGTTCTAGTTTCCTTTGAGTCTCCGACCGTCGTGAGTGGTTTACTGTGCCTTGAAGATTTGTCGCCTATCCATAGTTTCAACGTACAATAGCACGAATGTGAAGATTTGACTGGAGAAGTAATACGTCTTGCATAAAACATGTATATGTATATGTGGTGTATCAAAGTCAAAGTCAAAGTATCTTTATTCAATATAGGCTTAACTTAAGCTCTTATTGAACGTCAACAAAATATACCACCGGTTCACTAAACTAGACCTGCACTGATTGATTTTGATGCAATTATACAAACTTATTTAGGTATAAAATCAGCAGCAGCCACGGGTCTTGCAAGTACAGAGCAAGAGTCATTTCCACACATCCTTGTCCTCAATGTATTCTTGGACATTATAGTAGGCCCTTGCCATTAAGTTAGCTTTTACAAATTGTTCTAAATTGTTTATAATTAGTTGTTTGTGTATTTTATTTTATTATAAAAGTTGATGGATCTACCTAGAACCGACTTTCTGGTTTTAGCCAATCCAAACCTCGGTACTTCCAGAGTCACCACGGCCCCGATGCGATGTGGATTGTTTTTTTCGAAAATCGGTGGATATTATTACGTACATACATGTCGTTCTCAAGTATGTAAAGCGACGTATACATGTGTTTAACTGTGGTAGAGTCGGGCAACAGTATTTGCTGTTGCACGAATGGGCAGGTCCGTCCGGGGAAGTGTCGCAACCACAAAGAAGACCGAAGCGGAACTGTTATACTTCTGCGTTTCGTCTGGTGAGTGAGGTATCCGGGGTCGAAGTTATAGGTGGCAACGTATTGGCACGTACGGGTGTTGGAAATGTCCATGGTCGGCGGTTATCGCATTTCCTCAGCTGAACCGCCAGCTCGCGATAACTTCTCACATAAAAAAAAAAAGAAAAACGAAATGCGAAGCCTGTCTTTGCGTTACGTTCGATGTTCAATATGCTAAAATGCTGGGAATACATATGCTGGATGTAGATTCCTGAGGGTTGAAGTTTTCGTATGCCAAGCCTAAAACGGTCAAAATGAATTCCCTTGTGGGAACTGCAGATCGTACACGCACTATTAATGCGTTATTACTGTTGTTAAAATTTAAGTTTATTTTAATTTTTTTCTCGCAATACTTTATAGATATTAATTTACGTTGACCAGGGCATAAGTTTATATTAAGAAAGCTGTGTGTTCCCCTATAACTGTTGGAACATCAACAATTTTATTTAGGGTTCCGTACCCAAAGAATAAAACGAGATTTTATTACTAAGCCTCCACTATCTGTCACCAGGACATGTGTATCTCATGGACCGTGATAGTTGGACAGTTGAAATTTTCACAGATGATGTATTTCTGTTGCCGCTTTAACAATAAACACTAAAAAACAGAATAAAAAAATATTTAAGTGGCGCTCCCGTTAAACAGACATGATTTTGTGCCGTTTTTATAGATATATACGGAGCCCTTCGTGCGCGGGCTGTGGTTTACTGCATATCATAATGTTAACATATATACGTAAATACTAGCCATCCCTCTAGGCTCCTTTTCAAAATGGTAATTTAGAAATATTTTAATAACTTTTTTTTTTACGCGGTACAAAATATAAAGTTTGTTTTATTTTTATGGATCTAATATTTACAAGATTAAATCTATCTAAAATTACATATTATCTAATAAACCTAATCCACGCGGCATGATGCCAAGAACGCTAGCTGCATTTCCTCGCTGAATAGTTATGCTTAACCTTTGAGCGAAAAAAGAACCACCTCTCTTGTCACCAGCCGCGGCGTTAAGCCTAGGACATAAACTTTTAAAAAATTTTGATGTGCGGGGACCCCACGGACCTAAACTTTCAACAGAAAATGGCACAAATACATAGTCTAAACATAAAGACTATTTATTTACTAACTTTTATAAATCCTTACTACGGTAGAGCCACGCAACAGCGTTCACTGTTGCTTGAAAGGACAGGTCCGTCCAGGTAAGTGCCACGACCTCACAGAAGACCGGCTTAAGGTAGAAGTGTTACACTTCTGCGTTTCGTCTGGTGAGTGAGGTAGCCGGGGCCCACTTTATTTAAAGTGGCGACGCATTTCTAGCCCTACTGGTGTTGCAAATGTCCATGGGCTGCGGCTGCCCTTAAAGGTGAACCGTCAGCCATTTGCCATTTTTTTACATAAAAGAAAAAAAAAACATTAATATTCCTTTGTTTCATATACAAAAAAATCAATATTTGTTTCGTAATTTTGTTAAATATAACTATGTATTAAAAATATGATTATTTATTGGAAAAATTGTAACAAAGATGTTAAATCGAATCCGCGAAATGTCGGAACGGTTCGACGTGTGTCAATCATTGAAGACGACCTTTTTTTCATTGTAACAAGCATTCTGACTTTGTTCGTATTCTAGCATACAGTTAGTGGTTATACAAATCATAGAGCAAAAACAGGTTATCAAACCGTATGAAATGAAAATAACACTACCTACTAGGCTATTAATAAATGCTGCACAATGAAAAACACAGATGTCCCTAATAAATTCAAAGTAAAAGCTTTTCTATATATTTTAAAGTAAAAGCTTGTCAAATTAAATCTACGTTTATGTCTAGCTATGCCACTGGGAATCGAAAGTACAAAATTAAATGGGATCTAGCCGCTGGACAATCCTCGTCTTTGGAGAACTTTAAACTAGATTGCATTATAACTTACTCAGTCATTAGTTAATCGAATTGTGACGATATTACGCCAGCGGGGGGCTGTACGAACTTAAGCCACCCTCAAATCAACGCCAGCCATTTGACAGATCACTCCGCCCCCACTGGCGACTGCTAATGTGTCTGGCTTCACGCCAGCCCGCTCGCCGAAGCTAAACAAAATGTCAATACGAACGCATCGCAGTAATTCATCGAGTAGTTTTCGTGTTACTGCAAAGCGATCGATAGATGGGGAAGGTTCTCGAGTTGCCTCGTACTGGCCATCGCGGTGCAGGACCCCCACCAGATGGAGTGACGACCTGTACTAGTGTGTGGGGAGTGATGGACGCAGGTGGCTCAGGATCGTGCTTCGTGGTAGTCTGTGGGAGGTCTATGTTCAGCAGAGGAACTCTAACAGACTGAAATGATGATGATTACAATCAAAAATGGATCGCTTGCAAAGGACAGTTTATAACATTTTACGTCCTAGACTAATCTTATGACGTTTAAAGACTAGTATCTCTCTGTAAGAAATATTGGAGGTAGTGATTTCCAGATGAGCCTCAATATACTCAATAAATGCGGTACTCGTAGGTGTTTAAACCTGTATGACGTTTAGGTTTAGTAGCAATGCCTTTAGTTCGATGCTTATTATTCATTGATAATAGGTTCATACCCCAATATGCAATTCCTCGCACTATTGGGACTACAAAGGCAATTCGGTTTCTGCTGGTATCGCTGCTGAGAAGTAATCTTGTTTCATCTCAGTGAGAATAATAGCATCAGCGTTCCCGTGTGTTTCGCTGATACTACACGTGTTTATATTGCATCTAGATATGATAGCGAATTTTCCAATATATATATATAGTACCTGGAGGACCGAGCTTTGCTCGGTTTGTTTTTTTTTGGTAAATCGTGTGTTTTGGAAATTACTATTAGATACAAATTACTAAGTAATGAAATATGCATAATATGTTTCGATCTTACCGATCTCACACATAATAAGAAAATATGAACTGGTGTTTTTCACAAAAGAAAGAACTTTAAAAAAAAAGGGAAAAAATAACAAAATAACAAATCGACAAAAAATAACAGATAAAGAAAGCAATGATCTGGAATCGAAAAAAAAAAAGTAAAAAAATAAGTGTGTATGATCTTGATACGATCCACGGCCTTCTGTTTCGTGGCTGTTTGTTAGCGGCCGCCCGATTACCGACCGAGCTATTATAACATTTTTTTTTTTCGGTGAAATTTACCGTCGTATTTGAATAATATTTTTCATTCCCTGAAAAGTGGGATAAAACGACATTTTCTAAAAATGAAACCTAGTCAGATCGATTTTTTGCCCCCGAATCTACGCACATACTAAATTTCATGAAAATCGCTGGAGCCCTTTCCGAGATTCCAGATATATATATATATATATATATATATATATATATTTATTTATTTGTATTTATATATATATATATTCATAATATAATCTCGGACTCGCGCACGAAGGGTTCCGTACCATCCATTATCTATAAAAACGGCAAAAATCATATCTGTGGTATGGGAGCCTCACTTAAATATTTTTTTATTCTGTTTTTAGTTAATTTGTTGTTATAGCGGCAACAGA